CGCGCACACGCGCACACGCGCACACGCGCACACGCGCACACGCGCACGCGCACGCGCACACGCGCACACGCGCACACGCGCACACGCGCACGCGCACACGCGCACACGCGCACACGCGCACACGCGCACACGCGCACACGCGCACACGCGCACACGCGCACACGCGCACACGCGCACACGCGCACACGCGCACACGCGCACACGCGCACACGCGCACACGCGCACACGCGCACACGCGCACACGCGCACACACGCACACGCGCACACGCGCACACGCGCACACCCAGACGCACACGCGCACGCACACACCACACGGCACACACGCGCGCACACACACGCACACACACACACGCACACGCACACGCACACGCACACGCACACGCACACGCACACGCACACGCACACGCACACGCACACGCACACGCACACGCACACGCACACGCACACGCACACGCACACGCACACGCACACGCACACGCACACGCACACGCACACGCACACGCACACGCACACGCACACGCACGCACACGCACACGCACACGCACACGCACACGCACACGCACACGCACACGCACACGCACACGCACACGCACACGCACACGCACGCGCACGCGCACGCGCACGCACGCACGCACGCACGCACACATTCACACACACACGCACACATTCACACACAGACGCACGCAAATTCACACACACATTCACACACACATCCACACACACACACATTCGCACACACACACACATTCACACACATACGCAAACATTTGCACGCATACACACCACACACAAACTTTTGCGTCGGAGTCTAGGCAGAGTGGCTGCGCTGGCGGATGGGACAAATCTAGGGCATACAATTGCGAATGAAGCCGCGGAGCACGGGAGGAGGACGGCCAAGCCCGGCGCGGACGAGAGGGAGAAGAAACCCGGGCCCGCTCAGAGCGGGGCCAGTCAGCGGCACGGCGGCGCCGGGGTGCCAGGGCGGCGGCAGCGAGCAGCCGGGGGTGGGCAGCAGCCAGGGGCAGGAGCTCAAGTTTTTATTATTCCACATAACGCGCGTTATGTGGCTGGGTGGGTGGGTGGGGTCGCTGGCACATAGCATAACACAGCCGCGCCCGGCCGCTCGAATGGCTGTATGCACACATTCTGATGCAGCACCCTATGCGCGCACCACATCGCGCGTGTACACCACAGTGCATGGCGCATGGCAGTGATCACGTAAACCACAGAAACTGCGTATACGACTGTAAACGCGCCATACCACAAAGTTGTTTCACACCCTTTGCTGCGCCCACAGCAGCACGTTCCGCGCGCACAACGCAGTCGCGCCTGGCCGATCGAATGCTGATTGTGCTGGAAGGACTGCCCTTTGTTGCTATTGGTCATAGCACTCATGCAACGAAACGGCCTAGCAGCTGCGAGTGCTACACAGCGCCGCAATGCCCACGAAAACCACGCATGCTGATGCAGCAACCTACGCGTGCACAACATCGTCAGCGTACGTCGCAACGCACGGGTGCACAACAGTGCCTGTGTATACAGCTGTCAAAGTGCACACCACCTGTAGTACGCCAGCGAAAAAATCGCTTGCGACCCGACAGCCACGACGCGCCTATGTCCAGCGCTACAATAGTTTGCGGTCGCGCAGGCCCCGCGCGGCTGAGCCGCGCGGGGCCGGGGAGGGCAGGCCCAGGCAGTGCTTGGGACGGACAACGCAGTCCGGCAGCAGTGAACTGAGATCGGGCCGACCTACCAGGCGCCAAAACTGCGGGAGGAAACCACCTCAGGGGAGGGGCCGGGGCGATGGCTGGGAAAGGCCCAGAAGGCGGAGCGAGAAAAAAGGCCGAGATCCATGGACCTGCGAGGCGCCGGAGGGCGGGCGACCTGCATGGGTACCCTGTGGTTAGGGACTGCGTGGGGGCAGAGCAGCGAGCGAGCAGGCCCATCGGTGAAGCCGGCACGAGGACCGCAGGCCGGCCTGAAAACCAGGCAAAACGGGGGGCCAGCCCGGGGGGGGCGGAGGGGCAAGGCCAGCCACCCATCAGAACGTACTGGGGAAGGCCAGGCTAACAGGGTGCATGCCGCGGGCAAAGTCAGCCCGAAACCCTGCAGAAGGCCGGCGATCCAACCTGCCGGGGCAAAGGATGCAACGGCGGGGCAGGGGCCTCCACCCGGACAGAGGCGGGGCGGCAACCCCAAGGGCAAGCGGGGGTACGGCGCGCGGGAGCGAACGGCGAGCGGTAAGACCAGCCCGCTGGAGGGCAAAAGCAGCGGCAGCCGCCGGGAGGGAAGGGCGCTAGCAGAGCAGCGCGTAGCGCCCGCGGGCACCCGAGGAACGGTGGCCCCGAGGCGGGGGGCAGGGGGACGGAGAACGAGGCAAGGAAAAGCGCCGCCCGAGGGGGCCCGGGTGCGCGCGGGGGGTAGACCGACGGGTGCAGTGAGAGGTGGACAAAGCACCGAGCAGGTGCAGCAGCACAAGGCGTAGAGCAGTCGACCCCGCAGGGGGGGCCGCAAGGCGAGGCGGCGGGGCGGCGGAAGGCGTGCAGGCGCAGGGTCAGTGGCGACCGCGGCCGAGCGCGCAGTGAAAAGGCAGGGAGAGAGATCGGCGGGCCAGAGTCGGCCAAAACCGGGTGGGGGGTAGCGCCGAGCAGGAGCACGGGCGCAAAAGGAAACAGGGGAGCCATTGGAGGCAACTGGCGTCCGTATGGAAGGCAGCGGGGAGCGCGCGCAAGGCCACTTAGAACTGGATCCCGAATGGCGGATGGCACAAGGGCCCTCTGCGCCTCGCGGAGGGGGGTGCCCTGGAGGCCACCGGGGCCACCCCGAGAATCCTGGGGGGACCTTGGGCCAGGGGTACTTCTGGCAAAACTCGAACTCTTACGTGTAGCCTTAAGTCGGGCATGTCCTTCTACAGGAGGAATATTCAAAAGTAGTCAAACAATAATGCGGGAACGACTTTCCGACTACTTCTGGTTGTTTGTGAATATGTTTGGGAAGTTGTGCTATTTTCCTTCCAACATCAGCATGCAAGAGGACATGCCCGACCTACGTGTAGCCCACGAGGGGGTGTTCGAGGACGGGCCCATGGGCGGCCGGGCGCACGCACGCGGTGAGGCCGCAGAGCCGCAGGCGGAGTCCCCTGTGGGAGCACACAGAGCCCAGGCATGCTCGCGCCGCACAGGAATTCGGTTGACCCAAACGGGGGTCCAGCTGAAAGGGGGTGGTGCAATCATTAGGTTTGGGGCGATGGTATTGCAGATGTCTTGCGCCAGAGAGCTGTATGGCATTGTGTTGCAACTCGTGTGCCGCACGCGAAAGTCCAGCACTACATTTGCGCCCCGGACTGTGTTGCACACCCCAAATCTACTGCAGCCCCACAGATCTATTGCACCGAATCTGCTGCACCACCCCCTTGTTCTGGACCTCCTTTTGGGCCACCCAGAGAGAATCACGACGGGGAGTCCGTCGCCGTGTTCGGCCTCCGGGGGCCCTCGCCGGGCCACGGGGCCCTCAAAGAGCGGCTCGGAAGGAAGAGCCGGCCGCAGGGAAAGAAAGGGCCGGGACCTCCAGGGACCACATGTTCAAAACATCGGGCCATCGGATGTCTGGGCAGGGGTCCGTCCGCACGATCCGCCCGCCCGCCAGCTTCAGCTAGAAGTGTGATACTTACTGATCGTTCCTCATGCTGGAGCTGAGAGTGCTGAGTCAAGGTCCGCTCGCCCCGAAAAGATCTGTTTCAGCCAGGGGCGTGTTCAACATTCTCTCCCGAACGCAACCTGTGCCCACGCGCCAGCGGGTCTCAGCACCGCTCAACGACAAGTGCAGTTGCCCCACCACCACCATTGCAGATGGCCGCCACCCCGTAGCGCGCCTGGCGGTCTGCAAGCACAGTACAGAGGGTGGCGACGATCCGCGCGCCACTGCACCCGATGGGATGGCCCAGCGCGCATGCACCACCAAGCACGTTCACCTTGCTGTGGTCAAGGCCGAGAATCTTCATGTTTGCCAGCACCACCACAGCGAACGCCTCGTTAATCTCGAAGTAGTCGACATCCTGCAAGGCCAATCCCGCCCTCTTGAGGGCGAGCTGGATGGCAATGGCTGGGGTTGTGGTGAAACGTTCGGGCTCCTGCTCGGCGTCTGCAAAGCTTACGATCCGAGCCAGAGGTTCGGGAGACTCTTCATGGGGGGGGATCCCATGGGGGGATAGGATCCCAGGGGGGGGATCCCATAGGATCCCCTGGGGATCCCATGGGGGGCAGGAGGGGATCCCATGGGGGGGATCCCCTCCTGCCCCCCCACGGGATCCCCCCCCATGGAGAGTCTCCCGAGAGGCGTCAGACCCAACGAGCGGACCGTGGCGCTGCTGGCCAGCACGAGCGCGGCAGCCCCGTCGGAGATGGTCGAGCTGCTTGCGGCCGTGACCGTGCCGCCCCTCTCGAAGGCCGCCCGGAGCTTCGGAAACGCCTCGACGTCGCCCCGCGAGTACTCCTCTCGGGTCGGGCGAAAGGGGGGGGTTTGAGAATCAGCTCGCGTAGCTGATTTTCCCGGCGCCTCCCGGCGCCGGAGGCGGCCATGTATCGAGGAATGGGCCCCTCGGTGAGGCCGAAACCAGCTGCATGCAGCAAATTTCGTAACCCCCCCTTTCCCAATCCCCCCCTTTCGCCCGGCCCGATCCTCGTCGGCAGTCACCGGTCTGGCAAGTCTGCCACCTGGCGTCACGGGCACAATCTCCTTCGCAAAAGCGCCGCGCGAGTAGGCCTCCCGGGAGCGCCGGTAGCTGCTGGCGGCGTAGTCGTCCTGCTCTTGGCGGGTGATCTCGTGCTCCCGTGAGCACGCCTCCCCGAAAACGCCCATGGCGAGGCTTCTCTCTGGATCCGTGAGCCCGTCGTGGGCAACCCCGTCGAGGATCCTCTGGTCGCCGTACTTCAGCCCTCGGCCTGCCCGAGCCTGGCCAGGCAAGTAGTACGGAACATTGCTCATGCTCTCCATGCCGCCTGCTACCACGACGTCTGCATCGTTCGGCGGCGCACCGAGGGGGGGAAGAGAGCGAGGGGGGCGGGCCTCCTCAGAAGGCGGCGGGGCCTCTCGGAAGCCCTCGGGCCTCCTGCAGAGCCCTCCACAGGCATGCGACGCCCTGATTTTCAGTGCGGGGCCCCTGGTAGTCCCGGCCCTCTCCCCAGGGCGGGCTTTTCATCCCGAGTCGTTTTCTGACGGTCCCGAGGCCCAGCGAGGGCCTCCGAGGGCCGATCATGGCCAAGAGCCTCCCGTCCTGGATCTGGCCCCGGGGGAAGGCCCAAGAAGCTCCTCGGAAGGCGGGGGTGCCTTCCGAGAAGCCTCGGAGGAGGCCCGCCCCCTCTCTTTGCCTTCCCGCCCGGGCGCGCCGCCGGACCGAGACCCCCGACGTCATGACTTTCTCTCACACGTCGACCCCCCAGGCAGGCGGCGAGCGAGGGGGAGGAGGAGGAGGACGAGGGGGAGGGCGAGGAGGAGGAGGAGGAGGAGGAAGAGGAGGAAAGGGAAGAGGAGGAAAGGGAGGAGGAGGAGGAGGAGGAGGAGGAGGAGGAGAAGAAGAGGAGGGAGAGGAGGAGGAGAAAGAGGAGGAGGGGGAGGAGGATGAGGAGGAGGGGGAGGAGGAGGAGGAGGTGGAAGAGGAGGAGGAGGAGGAGGAAGAGGAGGAGGGGGTGGATGCGGTTCGGCGGCGCACTGAGGGGGGGAAACGAGGAGGAGAAGGTCTTCTCAGAAGGCGGCGGGACTTCTCAGAAGCCCTCGCGCCTTCTGAGAAGTTCTTTTTGTTTTCGGAGAGGGCTTAGAAAACTTCTCAGAAGGCCGGGAGACTTCCGAGCCTTCTGAGAAGGCCCGCCCCTTCTCACTTCCCCCCCTCGCTCGCCGCCGACCAAAGGTCTGGACCCATTCCCGGGGACGGGCTTTTCACCCTGAATCGTTTTGTGAAGGTCCCGAGGCCCGAGTAAGGCCCCCGGGAGGCCGAAAATAGCCCCCCGCCCCCCGTCGGATTTGTTGTCATGACCCCAGCAGGTCTTGGACATGGTGCAGCAGGATGCTTTGGGCACCCATCGTGACCGCCTTCATGCCAGACGCGCAGACCTTGTTCACCGTCGTGCAGCAGGTGCTCACGGGCAGCCCGGCGCCGAGCGCCGCCTGCCTTGCGGGCGCCTGCCTGAGGCCAGCGCTGAGGACGTTGCCCATGATGCACTCCTGCACCTGCCGGCTGCACTGGGGGAATACCACACATTCATAAAAAACAACATGACTTCTCGGAGCTCCTCGCGGACTTCTTGAATCGGCGCTGGGCCTCCTCCCCAGCGCGCGGAGCGCGACAGGGGCGGCGCAGGGGGCGGCGCCAGAGGTGCCAACAGGGGGGCCTAGCGCAGATCCAAGAAATCCGCGCGGACCTCCGAAACTATGTTTATGTGATTCGTCTTCTTCTTCTTCTTCAGTGCACGCAGGAGTGACCCCAACCAAAGCAAGATCGGCCAAGCCGGACGATGTCGATGCAATTTTCGGTCCGCATCGGGCCCGACGTTCCGCTCCCTGCGGGACTTCTCCGAGCCAAGCCGACCTCTGACGATGTGCGCTGGCAGCAGGGTGTGGGAGCAGTGCCCCGGCGCTCTTGCACGAGAGAGGGCAAGAGAGTGGCCTCTGGTGCGCGGCCCTCGAAGGGGCTGGGCGGGGGGGGGCCCGGCGCTCTTGCACGAGAGAAGGCGAAAGAGTGACCTCCAGTGCGCGGCGTTCGAGGGGGCCGGGCGGGGGGAGGGCAGCCCGAGCGAGCAGGCCGGTGCCCGGGGGGGGGGCTCTCTCTGTGGGCCCGTAGCAGAGGTCGCTTCGGCGAAGGGTCACTCCTGCGCGAGGCCAGGCCTGCTCCTTTGCCACGCCGGCGGCTTCGACGGATGCAGCGATCGCCCAGGACCCGAGCTCCGTGGCCTGGCAGTCTACAAGAGAGCCGCCAAGAGCACCAATAGGGGTCCGCTTGGCGCTGAGGATGTAGACACCCACGTTTTCGTTCGGGTCGATGGCAGCGTCCCCTGCCACCACGTGGGCGGCGATTCGGGCAACTCGCGCCGAAGCCATGGCTGCCGTGTCGAATGGTGTGATTCGTGCTGAAAGAGCGTTTAGCAAACCGAGCCCATACAGCTCATGACATATCTAAAAGGTTGCGCCACTCACTCCAATGACTGAATATGTTGTCCTGATGTTTTGGATCCGCTTGGGACGCCTCTCCTGCGACAAAGGGGTCGTTGATGGAAGCCTCGCTTGTGCGTTTACCCGGGGCCCCAATACAGTTCAGAAGGAATGCTTTCTGTGGAAGCTGCACTGCGGAAGCTCTCCCACTCTCTCGGTCGCCCCTCCCTCCCATCGCAAGACACCACCCCCTGCCACACCCTTGCTTCCAGAACCGAGACCCCCCCTCCCCGCCACACGGGGTGGGAACTCCCCCTTCCTATCCCCCCTCCCCTCCAGAAAGTCGGGGAAAGGGGTCCAGCAGCTGACAGCTACGGCCGGCGATGACAAGGCCACCGCCGCCGCCGCCGACGACGAGGCCGCTGATGACGGCGACAAAGACGACGAGAGCCGATCGCACGACGCCGGCGACGACGAGGCTGCCGACGACGACGACGACGACGACGACGACGACGACGACGTCAACGACGACTAGGGGCGATCGCACGACGGCGACGATGACCGGTGGAAGGGATATTTAAGTCGGGCGGACGGGACATGAAATGTGCTTGGTCACCTCTCGATGATAAGGTAGAAAGGGGAGAAAGGATACGACCCAAAATGACGACGACTGGCGGGAAGTTCGGTCGGGCGGGCGGGCGGAACATTAACTGTAACGCATCTTCAGACGTGTCGGTAAGGCGGGTACGATCCTGAAACTTGACGTGTTAGCCAGCGTGGACTTAAAATATGGATGTACTGCAATCTATGGGATGCAGTCTAGGTGGTGCCACCAATGTGGTTCAACCTAGGTGGTGCAATCCATGTGGCTTAACTTGTGTGGTGTGATGTCAGGGGCAACAATGGAAATCAACGCAAAACAAAACGCAACGCAATGCAACGCAACGCAAGGCACCGCAATCATGATGCAAAATACTGCCAAGCAATGCAACGCAATGCAATGCAAAGCAACGCAAAGCAAAGCGATGCAACGCAATGCACAGCAACGCGGAGCAATGCGATTGCAATGCAGTGGAATCGCATTGCAATGCAATGCGACTGCAACGCAATGCGAAGCAATGCGCTGCAATGCGATCGCAATACAATGCAACGCAATGCGATTGCAATCCAATGCGATTGCAAAGCAAGGCAAACCAATGAAATGAAATGCGATTGCAATGCAACGCGCGATTGCAGCGCAATGCGATCTCAATGCAACGGGGGGCAGGTGCAACGGGGCGGCGGCGACGGGCGGGCATGGGACCGCCAGGGCGGCAAGCGGGCCTTTGTTTTGGACAGCGCGGTGCGGCGACGGGCGGGAACGGGGCCTCCGAGGCACCACTCGGGCCCAGTCCCTCGGAACGGAAAGCTGCGAACCCTTGCGTGCAAACACCGCCTGGGGCATGTGCAGCAATTTCGCGGATGCAGGGCGGGTCGTTTGCAAAACGTGGCTCTCGCCTGTGTGCCGCGCACATTCGGCCTAAAAGTTCGGAGCGGTTGCGCGCTAGAGAGCGGGTGGTGTCCAGATTGTGGGTCTCGCCCTGGCGCTGCGCACATCCAGCTCAAAGGTTGCACCAGTGTCGCGGATGGAGGGCGGGTCGTTTCCAAAATGTGGCTCTCGCCTGGTCGCAGCGGACATTCGTCTCAAACTTAAGTCGGGCCTGTCCCTCTGCAAGGGGGATATTCAAAAATAGTTAAACAATAGTCCGGGGACTATTTTTTGAGCATTTTTGACCATGTCGGAGAATGTTTTGAGTATTTTTATTTTCCGTCGAAAATCCCCCTATAGGGGGACACGCCCGACTTGATCTTAAACGTTTGCAGCAATTTCACGGGTGGGTGGCGGGTGGCTCCCAAAATGTGGCTCTCGCTCCAGCGCCGCGCACTCTCGCCCCCAAACGTCTGCAGCAGCTCCGACGGCTTGCACGATGGGCACCCCAGGGTGTGCTGGCACGCCTTAGGGCTGGTAGGACAGAACAACCATTGTGGCTCGCGGTGTCGAGCTCCCAGGAACGGTGCTCTGGCACGTGTTCGGATCGTCAGGGCGCAACTGTCTGAGCCGCGGCGTTGCAGTCCAGGAGTGGTGTATGGTGATCCGTCGCGGCTGGGGGCTCTCAGGCAGTTGGCCTATACCGGGTCCCTTCACGCAAGGAACGCACATCCTTGTAGGGGCCTGCGAAGAAAGATCCTGGAGGGAGGATTTGCTGCAACACCATTGGTGCGTCTAGGGCTTACGCTGGTCCTCCTCCTCCTCCTCCTGCTTCTCCTTCTCCTCTCTCCCTCTTCGAACTGTCCTTCCAATGGTTTGCACAATGGCTCGGGAAACGTCGGTGACCACATAGCGGCCCCCCCTCCCGGGGCTCCCTGGGGGACCGTCGCCCCCCTGGGGCTCTCCAAAGCTCTCGAAGGTTTCCAGCATGGCCCAGGACGGCCACCAGGGCCAGCCTCCTGGAGCCCCTGGGCATGGATTCTCAGGGCCACCCACCCTGCAAAAACCTCGTCGGCACCCCCCACTACGCCCCCAACATTGCCTCAGGAGGCGCGCCAAAGCCGCTGAGACGCGACCGATTGGTCTCAAGAGGCCTCCAGCTGGCCCCAGTACCCCCCTGGAGGAGGAGGAGGAGGAGGAGCAGGAGGAGGAGGAGGAGAAAAAGGAGGAGGGGGAGGAGGAGGAGGACGAGGGGGAGGAGAAGGAGGAGGAGGTGGAGGAAGAGGAGGAGGAGGAGGAGGAGGAGGAGGAGAAGGAGGAGAGGAAGGAGGAAGGAGGAGGGAGGGAGGAGGAGAGAGGAGAGGAGGGATGGAGGAGGCGGAGAAGGGGCGCGGAGGAGGAGATGAGGAGGAGAAGGAGAAAGAGGAAGAGGAAGAGGAGGAGGAGGAGGATGAGGAGGAGGACAACGAGGAGGAGGAGGAGGAGGAGGAGGAGGAGGAGGAGGAGGAGGAAGAGCAAGAACAGGGGGAGGAGGAGGCAGAAGAGCACAAGGAGATGCGGGGCTCGAATTCGCCTTCGGTCCCCACATCTGGGCATCACTGCCTCCGACCGTGCTGCACAATTTCTCGTCCCCTCCCGTCGTCGTCCTCGACGTCGCCGTTGCCGTCGCCGTCGTCCTCGTGGCCCTGCTGCGCGAGATTTCTTTGCACCACCGATGCTCAGGTGCTGGGGCGCCTGCGCTTCTTACCTCTAAGCGAGTCTTGGGCCTGAGCGTCGCGGGCCACCCGTGGGGCTCCGTTGCGCAAGCCCCTGGTGGCAGCGAGCTTCAACTTCTTCGCTTTCCTCCTCTCTTCCTTCAGCTTCCGCTTCTCCTGGCACGCATCCCTCCTCTGCTTCTTGCCGATGCTGCGCTGGACGCCGGCTCTGCTGGGCATCTCTGCCTCCAGCGGCCCCCCCTGGCCGTTGTCTTCGGGCTGCCTTTGAGGACGAGCAAACGGCATACGCTTAAACTTTTGGAGGTTCGCGCGGAACGCTTGAGCTTTCTGCTTATGCAATTGTGTCTTCCTCGATTCCGTGCGAGGCGGGATGTATCCATATTCACCGCCTGGGAAACAGGCGTCATTGGACCCCAGGCGGCGATGGATGTGCGTGTCTTCTGGCACACAGGGGGTCCGACTATATCCACACCCACAGCCTGCCGAGGTCCCCAAAGATCGATCCCCCAGGAGGTGGTCGAGGACACATCCCCGCCTCGGACCTGGCCGCTGTCTTCGCGCTGCCTGCCACGCCCCCTCGACGGCGCAGCGCACACACCGCTCGCCCCTCGGCGCCACTTGTCGAGAAACAAAACATGACATAAGCATAAACTGTCGACAGCCCGCGCGGGTTTCTTGGATCGGCGATGGAGCCTCGCCCCTGGCGCGCAGAGCGCGCCAGGGACGGCGCCAGAGGCGCCGCCAGGTGGGCCCAGTGCCGATCCAAGAAATCCGCGCGGCGCTCCGAAAGTTTATGCTTGCACAGTTGTTCCCAGCCATCCTGTGGTGTTGGGTCTTCGTTTCCAGGACGCAGCGCCCCGAGTCCCAGTCCATCCTCCTCCCCCCCCTCCCTCCTCCCATCCCTGCCTCTGCCCTCCGCACAAGTCAAACATATCTGCGCAGCCCTCACGCGTTTCGTGGCCCCATAGCGAGCTCCACCGAAGGCCCCAGTGGCTGCGTTCGCATGCGCTCGCCGCGCCAAGTTCGGCGCACCCCTCACACGATTCGTGGCCCCACAGGGAGCTCCACCGAAGGCCCCAATGGCAGGGTTCATAGGGAGCTCCACCGAAGGCCCCAATGGCAGGGTTCATATGCGTCCGCGCGAGCCATTTCGGCACACCCCTCACACGCTCCGTGGCCCCATAGGGAGCTCCACCGAAGATGATGCTGACAGCAACGGTGCTCACAACTGCGTATGGTTGGGCCCCTCGCCAGGATCATTTTCTTCCCCCAGTGCCTGCCGCACACCCCACTCCCTGGCGCGTGGAGCGCGCCAGGGGCGGTGCCGGAGGCGCCGCCAGGGGGGCCAAGGAAAAGTCAGAGGAATCTGCGCGGAGCGCCGAAAGTTTGTGCTTGCAGCCGTTCTCTCTTGCTCGCGGTGCCTGCCGCACACGCCGCTCCCCTGGCCGTTGCCGCGGCGCGCGGAGCGCAAACATCTCCGCGCGCCCTCAGGGTGCCCCGGGGGGCCTCGATGCCCTGCTCGGGAGAGTCCCTTCCAGGGGAGGCCTCGGAGGCCAAGCAGCAGGCCAAACCCTCGCCACCAAAAGCCTCGATCATCGGTACCCTCGAAGCTCGACCCCCGATCCTCGAGGCTCGAGTCTCGACGGTATTGGCGATCGAGGTTTCTGGTGGCGGAAGAGGAGGGAGAGGACGAGGATGAGGATGAGGATGATGACGAACATGAATAATCTTATGATGATGATGCTGTTGCCCATAATGAAGATGCT